TTTTTTTTTTTTTTTTTTTCCTGCGGGAGAATCATGCAAGAATTAGTGTGTACATGTTTCAATTTGAGTTTAAAACTAACCTGTATGATTTTGTTCTGCTGGGGGATAATTATTCAGTTTATTATAAGTTCTTAAATTTGATCCATATTTTTGCTATGATTGGTGTTTTTGTGTGATGCAAAAGGGGCTTTGAAATTCGTTGTGTTAAAAGAAAGTCATTGTTGGAAGTCCTTGCCAATGAGCTTCCAAGTGGAACCATCAGATACTTGTCAAAGGTTGTTGCTATTGAGGAATCTGACTTCTATAAGATACTTCATCTTGCTGATGGGACAACCATCAAAACTAAGGTAAACAATATGGGAAATAAGCAAAGATTTTTCATATATAAGAAGCAAACAACTTTTCTATTATGAGTCCAAGTTAGTAAACTTCAATTGATACATCAGTTATCAATGTTTGCAATTGAAAAAGGTATTGATTGGGTGTGATGGAGTGAACTCCATAGTGGCAAAGTGGCTAGGCTTCAAGAATGCCTCTTTTACAAAGAGATCTGCAATCAGGGGTTGTGCCGAGATCAAGACCAATCACACGCTTGAGCCCAAGTTCATGCAGTTCTTTGGCAAAGGTTTTAGAGCTGGAGTTATTCCTTGTGATGAGAAAACTGTTTACTGGTTTTTCACTTGGACACCCAACAACCAAGGTGAATTTTCAAACATAAAAGTTCTTGGTTGTGGAAACTTCAATTGCCAAAAATAGCATTGATTCACGGTGCCTATAATATAATATCCTAATGATGTTTAATAATAGACTTGACAATAAATTGAATCAATTCAGAAATAATTTGAAACTCAATTCGATATTTAGTTTATTAAATTTAGTTTATGGACTAAATAAATTGAACTTGAATTAAAAATTAGACTCGATAAAAAAATGACCTGAATTTGAGTTAAATCAAATATTATCCGGTCAAGTCGATTAACTCAATTTAGTTTGGCTTGACTCATTTTCAGCCTATGTAGTTGTATGCTTACCTTTTTGTCACATTTACTTGTCTTCAGACAAAGAGCTAGAAGAGAACCCTGCCAAACTGAAACAATATGTGCTAAACAAGCTTGAGAAAATGCCAAGTAATGTTAGATCCTATATAGAAAAAACAGCACTAGATGCTTTCCTATTAGCTCCATTGAGATATAGACATCCCTTGGAACTCATGTTGGGGAACATAAGTAAAGGCAACGTTTCTGTTGCTGGAGATGCTTTCCACCCCATGACTCCTGACCTAGGCCAAGGAGGATGTTGTGCCCTAGAAGATGGGGTTGTTTTAGCCAGGTGCTTAGCTGAGGCCTTCTCCAAAGAACCAAATACACATATCAAGGGGAAGGATGAAGAAGAGGGCCAATACAAAAGGATTGAGGAAAGCTTGAAGAAATATGTAAAGGGGAGAAGATGGAGAAGCATTGATGTCATTGCTACAGCTTATATGGTTGGTTCTATTCAGCAGGCTGAGTCCAAATTGATTACCTTTTTGAGGGACAACATTTTGGCTTCATTCTTAGTTAGCCTATTGTTCAGTAAGTCAGGCTATGATTGTGGAAAACTAAATAGCTCTTAGTGACACAATTATGTTGTAAAATGTTCAGTCCATCTGTGTTGCCTTTCATCTTGCCATGTTCTAAAATGAACTTCAAGTCCTTGTTCTCCTTTTGATGTAAGATTTTTTATTTCTCATTGTCATTTGATTTTGATTGGTAAAGGTCCAGTCACAACTAATCAATGGTGCTAACTGCTAAATGTTGATGCTAATTAGCAAACTGTGAAAGAATAAATCAGAAACCTCATGTGATTCCTGAATGCCAAATACAAGGCTGATCTCAACAAAGTAACCTTCAAGGAGAAATTCCCTTCACACATTTCTCATGAGGAAATTGCCTGATGTGTAATAATTCCCTTCATCCAAACACACTTAGAATAAAAACCCGTAATTTCTTCATCCTCAATGTCATGACTAAACATTGTGGTTAAAATATAAAAGTATTTTCTGTAACATCTAACACATTCACAAATCCAACTGTCCAAATCTAACACAAATAAATAAACAAGTTCCAACATGCGCATACGGAATGTGGACAAATTTGATGACCACTGTTAGAGGACGTATTCCACAACCAGTTAAGTGGATTGAAAAAAAGAAATACAATTCATAAACTTCTATTTTTTGTGTATCAAAACACGTATTTTTCCGTGGCTTTAATTAATACACGTTGAGGATTTGTACGTTTGAATTAATGGATAAGTAATATGGACAAATACTTTGAAATAAAGGGTCACTAACTACGAACAAAGATATATTGCGTGTCATTTTCGTAAACTTGCATACAAATTTACATTACTTAATGCGGAAAGCATGGGATAAAGTAGAAGAAACTTTATCACTGTTTAACTAAAGTAGAAGAAAATTTACCACTGTTTAACTAGCACACCAAATCATAATATTTTCAATCAATTTAGAATCTTGATACAGATACACTTATAATATATATATATATGGGGAATGTTAATGTACTCCCACCTATTTTTTTAGTGGGAGTATGTTAGCAACCTACACCAAAATTTTAGGACAAAAAAATCACTCATTTATTTTGATTTGATTAATTTGTATAAAGAATATTATAGTAATTTAATTTAATTTTAAATAAAAATAAAATATTTTCTCTCTCTTATTAACTTCATTCTCTAATTCATTTATTTTTTCTAATTAATTAATTTTTATTTGTTCAGAGAAAAATGGGAGAGCATCATGAGAGATGAAAGAGAAATGAGTTAAAGAAAGAATTTAATAGGAGAGAGATAAATATGTTAAAGAAAGAATTTAAGAGGAAAGAGAAATGAGTAGAAGAAGGAATTTAATAGGAGAGATAAATGACTTAGAGTGAAATTAATAAGAGAGAGAAAATATTTTACTTTCATTTAAAATTAAATTAAATTACTATAATATCCTTTATATATTTAGATATATACTTAGAAGTTTTTTTTAGTATTTTTCTATTAGAAACTAAAAAAACCAGAATTTATTTTAATCTAGTATCTAAACAAATTGTAATAACTTATTTGAATATAAAATATAAATATTTTTAAGAATTTATCTAAAAAAATTAATAAAAAAAACTCTAAAAAAGGCTAAAATCTATATTCAAACACATTTTAAGTTTAACTATATTAGTTTTATCTCGTTTGAAGTACTTGTCTTATATCGTTTGAAGTACTTGAGATGAATGTAGCATTACAAAGTCTAAATATATATATCAGAGGTAATTACTTATAAATTACTAGTTTAAATTTTTTTTACATTAATAACTAATTATATATATTAATTATGTCATGTTATTATTTACTTTTAACAATAATATAATTAAAAAATATAATTAATTATTACTATAAAAAAAACTTTACACGAATAATATATAAATGATTATTTCTATATATTATATGAAGCATGAAGCAATGATATTATACGGTTGCCGACTTCAAATGAATTATTTTACGTAGTGAATGCAGAGCAAGTCACTTTCAGTCTCTGAAAGGTGTAAGAAAAACGTGAGTTACTTTCTATTTTTATTTTTTTAATTTCCCATTGGAATTTTATAAATCGAAAGCAAAGCTACGGATATCTCCAAAAAGATATATACAGTAATTGGCGTGAAACACGTGAGTACGGTAATTTTAGTTATAATTATAATAATAAATTATTTATTTGATGTACATTTTTTTTAAAGATTTTATTCTTGAATTTTAAAATAAAAAATAATATTAAAAATTAATCATCTTTATAAAAATAAAATTCGAACTTAAGATTTTTAGATTTAAAATCAAATATAACACTAATTAATCTATCAAATATTTATAATTTTTAAATATTTTTATTAAATAAATATAAAATATCTCAATTTTATTAATATATATAACAGATATATATATATATATATATATATATATATAATTATTTTTTGTGTTTACACTTATTTAAATAATTTTACTCTTAACTCTTTAAATAATAAAAAATAATATCATAAGTTACTCGCTTGTATAACTACTAAAATGAATTAACTACTTTTAACTAATCAAAATTTTAACCACATTTATTGCTTAACTTCAATTTTTATCTATTTTAAAAAAATTTAATATAAAAATATGAAGTATCTTAATCTTACTAATTACGATAAATATGATAACTAACGGAGCACTAATTTGTGCTCAATGAAATATTATTTAGATAAAGATAAAAATAGATTTTGAGAATATTAAGTAAATTAATGACAAATATAGAAATTTTAAATAATGAAACAATATTCTTAAAAAATTTACAATGTTAAACATATGACATTTTATTTTTTATGAAATTTTATATTTTAAAAATATTAAATGATTTTCTCATTTTATTTTCAACATTTTTAAAAATATATCTTTTTATATAAGTAACTAAATAATCATTTGATCATTTATATCCATATCAAAATTTAGGCTTTTTTTTTAAGTAGTATAAATCGTTAATCATTTTATTTATTTAACTTAACTATAATTAGTATTTTTTTTATCCTGTAAATCGTATTAAGTATGTTATAAATTGTTTTACATAGACTATAATTAAAGAAACCTAGTGATTAGTCTTCTTTATTAAACAATATAATACAATATTCATTTTCTAAAAAATATTATAAAGAATATAAATAAAGAAAAAAAAATTAATATTACATTAAAATTTAATATAACACTTATTTTTTGCTTTTGAACATGACACTTATTATAAAAAAATACTTCAAAAAGTTTATATATTATTTTTTTTTACAAAATAAAAATACAAAAAATAGAAACATTTAATTTTTAATATGATAAACATGAGTGTAAAATCATGATAATGTAAGCACAGTATTATAAACTTAATATATATATATATATAAACTAAATATAAAAATGTTGGTGGTGGGCAAATTTTTCCACTAAGATCTATTTGTACCGTCCCTGAAGTAGACCAAACTTGTTCAATATTTTAGGGTTTAGAGGTAGAAAAAAAAAGGAGATGATCAATAATAATAGAGTAATGCTTCCGCTTTCCAAACAAAACAGTTACATTATCCTCTGACATGTGAAACTTTCACAAATTTTAAATTAAATTAATATTTATATTAAAATTAATTAACAGCTGTCAACTTTTAAAGATTCGAAAGATAAATGGCAAATACAGCTAGATAAAGCATTTTTCATAAAAAGAACATGATCAATCTCTGTTTTCTGTCGGAAGATTCTTTTATATAACTTTTTTTTTTTTTAAGGAACAAATCTCTATTTTTATCCTTGATAATTAATACATGTTTACTGAATAATGTGTGTATTTTTTTTAATGTCTACCTATTTTTTCTCCAACTATCCATATAAAGTTAATGTACATTTATAAGAACAATATGTTCCCAACAAAATATTATAAAAAAACAAAAAAAAGAACAAATATAATTAAATACAGTATGTTACAGTTCACGTGTAATCATTGTATTAATAATTAATGGAGTAGATTGCAGTTCAACAGTCTAAAAAATGCAAAAAATAATAAAGGGTAAAATAGAAAAGTAAGTAATAAATATTTTTGAAAATTAAAATATCAATAATTTTCTTAAGTCTCGTGCAAAATCTTAAACGACTATGGAAAAAAAAAATGGAGGAAATACTGTTCAATAGCAGTCCTCAATTATTATTTTTTTTTAAAATAGAAAAGATCATAAAGATGGTTGTAATAAGGATTTAATCTAGGTCCTCGTACTTCTCATTAACCCAACTCCTCCCCATTCAACCACTGTGTTAATCCTAGTTATTACTCCTCAATCATTTGTACCTGCATAGATAATGTTAATTTTTTATTTTTATTTTCCTTTTTCTTTCAAATAATATATACGCACACTTATCATTATTGTATACCATTACTGTGTTAAGGATGTTCTTTTAAAATAAATAATTATTAAAATAGAAAAATTGATCTGTAATTTTTTTTATTCATTTTAATGTTAGTCAAATTTTAAGATAATTTATGATTTAATATATATAGATATATATATATATATATATATATGCATTTGAAAGGGGTGCTACTTCAATACAACAATCATGAAGAGAATGTAAATGAAATTGAAAAGATGGACCTAGCACTTTGTAGAATGGTGATGGATAACACAACCAAGGAGTTTGAGGCTGAGAATATTATAAAGAGCTTGAGGCTGATGTGGTGGTAGTCACTGAAGAGCTTGAAAATGGATTGGATTGCTTGTTTAAGCACCTTATTAATACTCGAGTGTCTTTTCTAAATATAGTTTCTCCCTCAGGAAGAATATGATAGGCATGTCACAATGTCTGAGGATCTATACAAACAAATTAACCTTATTGACATTTTCTATTAGTAATTATATTTAAGAAAGTTGTCACTGATGTAATTGTACATTAAATATAGTTTTCTGTTTTCTTTTCTGTTTTAGCAATACACTGGATATTCTTCTTGTGACTTGGTTTCGTTCATTGAATTTTTTTTTCTTTCCTTTTTCTTCAGCATATTAAATTTGCTTGCAATTCATGAAACAGGAACAGTGTAGCTACTGGTATTTACTTTTCTTGCAGAATTAAATGGAATATATAAACTAAACAGCGTATCAGGTTAGAGTTAATGGAAATTAATATTGAAATGATAGATTGAAATTATTGAAACAAGTTACTAGAATTGGGTATAGTGGTGAAAAAATTGGATAATCTGCATAAGATCATAGATTCAAATACCTTGGTAAAAAGAAAAGTTAAGAATACAAATCAATAATTAATCAACACAATAGGACTATCATCCATAATATCTACTTTTATGTTAAAAAGAACTCATTTAATTTTCCCAAAAGTTTATTTTAATTTCTGTTAACTTATGAAAGATATTTGATTTATTTTATGTTTCTATGAATATTTTTTGGGAAATTTTATCCATTGTGAATCTAAAGCTCAAGTTCTTAATTTGTACAAATAACTTAATTGAGAAGCCACCAACACAGTATCTGCTTTTCTGCTGTCTTAAGTGTTTGCAAGAATTAGGAGCTTTCAAGCTAAACTGCATATCCATTGTAATAAAGCCGTCCTTGTCATACTCATCCTCTTCCTTTCCCCCAAAGCCCGGGAACTTCATTTTCTAGTTACTTTCATGAGTGTGATTCAGATCTTCTATATCACAACCCCATCTTGGTCCCATCACTACATAATTATTAATGTACTTATAATTGTGCACAGCTCCATACGCTAATCATTCAATCTATTTTTAACTGGATAAATAATGATAAGTTAAGGAGACTTGCATACAAATAAATAAGTTAATATCGTTTTTGGTTCAGAATGATTATTGTTTTCTCATTATACACACAAAATTATTAAAACACAAGAAGTAAACTTTAAGATCAGATGAATGTAACGCTACTAGTTACTTAACCACACGAATATAGAAAACTATAATGGTTTTAGCAACGTGTGAAATAAGTGCAAAAAAGTAAGAGAGCAGAATGTGACAAAACTGTAGCTATATCATATCTCATCAGTTAACTGCAAACTGTTTCTTCAACTACCAACTTATTTTTAAAAATTTAATTTATTAGCATAATTAACATTAATTTAAATAGGCTAATAATTAATGTTAAACTTATAAAAAAAAGTTTATAATAAATAATGTCATATTTAGACTTTAATTTTATAAAACAAGTTTAGCCTATATTTTTAAAGTTTGGCTTAAACTAACTTATTCTCGTTCGTAGTTTTTAAACTTTAAAATTTTAAATTCGTATCTTATATTTATAAAAATAATTAATGTTTAATATTATTTTTATTATTTAAAATTTAAAATTAAAATTATGTAAAAAAATATGTACATCATATCAATCAATCACCTTTACATACCTTTAATTTAATATTACATGCACAGTGACTCGAGGAAGAAAACGCAACTTTGTTATTAATAATTAGGTTGTAGCACGTGTGAGGCTGAATTCTTGCATGTGCTCTTTCCAATGATCTTGTGATCGTCATCTTCCACTACTTAACTCTATATAAAGGTTCCTCATCTCACAAAATTAAACCACCACCTCCAAAGAGAAGAATACCTACTGCATAGAAACATATATATATTAATATTGCTCCTCTTTAATTAGTACTTAGTAATGGAATCATTAGTTGAAGACGTTGTCATTGTGGGAGCTGGGATTGCTGGACTCACAACATCCTTGGCACTTCACAGGTACGTACAAACATACTCACAAACACGATTTTGTGCTACAAAATATTAATACACGTACGCATTCTAAAATATTGATGCAGGTTGGGTGTCCGAAGTTTGGTATTAGAATGTTCGGATGCTTTAAGGGTCACTGGGTTTGCTTTGACAACATGGACAAACGCTTGGAAAGCCTTGGATGCTGTTGGCGTCGGAGCCATTCTTCGTCAGCAACATCTCCAGCTAAATGAGTAAATTTATCATTCATTTCTTTCAATTATATTACCCTATCTAACACTATATCATTTTCTTTTTCTTTTTCTTTAAATTTATATTTATTATAAAGAAAAGCTTAAAATCCTTATTTGGTCCTTTATAATATTTTTTTTGTTTCAATTTAGTCTCATTTTAATTTTTAGTTTCAATTTGGTCCTCAATAATTTAAATTATTGCAATTTGGGACTTTCGTTCAAATAATTTAAACGAAGTTAACTGTTGGCCACGTGAATGCTAAGTGAATGCCACGTAGATGCACAGGTGGAAGCCAAATTGCATGAATACACCTGGAACCAGAATGACCTCTTCTGCTTGCACATGTTATGTGTTAATTTTGCAACTGAAACAGGCCGTTCCAAATGCAAATTTAACACAACATGAGTGCGTCAGAACGAGCCGTTATGCTGTTAGAACGGGCCGTTCTGGTTCCAGAACACCAACTTCATGCTTTTTATTGTATTTTTTTTATTATATATATATTAATAAAAATATAATAAATTAATATTAATTTATGAATAAAACTAAAAAAAAATCAAATAAGATAAGACTTTTCAAAATCCTTCATTTGATTTGAACTTATCCAGTTCAAAATCTTAACCAAAATGCCGCAATGTGATTCAAAAATTGAAAATGAAAATTCATAACATATCATAAATTCAAAGACAGAAACATGGTTCAGAAACTGAAAACAAAAATTCAGAACATAACATATACTAAAAAAGTTCAAAGAAATTACTGAGAATGCACATGAAATAACATATACTGAAAAAGTTCAAAAATTCATCATTGACTGTATAGTATCAATTTGGTAGTAAGTGGTTCCCTCCAGTTTGACTAACAATGAAATAAAAAACTGCTACTATTGTCCTTAGTGATACACTGCATCGTCCTTAATGATACAATGTATAGCCTAAATGTTTAGCAATTGAAGTTATCAATCTCCATTGAAAATATTACCAAATCTAGTATTTAAAAAGCTTTGTACCTTGGGTTATTTTCTGTAAATTCTGAAACCAGAACGGTCCGTTCTAGTTCTAGGTGTATTCAAGAAATTTGGGATCTACCTATTCATCTACGTGGCATCCACCTGACATCCACGTGACTACTAGTTAACTCTGTTTAAATCATTTTAACAGAAGTCCCAAATTGCAATAATTTAAATTATTGGAGACCAAATTAAAATAAAAAATTAAAGTGGGACTAAATTGAAATAAAAAATATTATAAAAGATCAAATAAGGATTTTAACCTAAAGAAAATATTAAAACGTGTGATTATTTTTTATATTTATTTTTAGTAGACTAATATATCCTTCAAATATTTTCTTTAAATAATTATTCACAATCATTTATTTTATTATTTTTATTTTTAAAAATTAAGAGACATGAATTATTTCCTTGCCGTACTTTTTTGTGTTTAGATCTTTAATAATGTTATCTTACACTGGCCTCCACTTTTTGTGTCGGGTACCACTCCTTCGTTTGCATTCTCGTACGGGTTCTGATTCAGGTAAAATATGAACAACATAAAGAAACAAGTGAATTAAGAACAAAACTAACGAATCAGGAGATTTAACATTAATAAAGTGTTAGAGTTATTACTCCACAGTTTATGATTTGATAATTAATATTTTATTAGTGTGAATTATAATCAACGGTTGAAAAAAAAATATTCTTCACGTAGAAGTTCAATCTTTTAATTATATTTATGAAAATATCTCGATAAATATTTATTATCTTAAAATATTATATATATATATATATATTATTATTTTTTTACAAATTTGAGAAACTTTTTCCATTATAAAACTCTTCATCTAACATACGATAGTGACCTTTTCTCTTTGAGTGTTTATACCTCTCATCACAAGATCACCTTTTATAGTAAATATTCAAAATTGCATCTATGTATAAGGGTTTATTTGATTTTATTGTTTTCTATTTTTATTTTTTAAAAATAAACACAAATAATATGTGTTTACTTTTAATTTTAGAAAGTGTTTTCAAAAGAAATCCAAATTGAAAATGAAAAAAAATGATATTTTTATCATTTTCTATACTTTTGAAAATGCAATGACATGTAATGGTAATTATTAATTTTTTTTAATGAATTTGTTTCTAAGCTTACAACCTTATACACATAATTCAATATACTTAATTTTTTTATACATGTAATTTAATCCATCTGTATTATATATTTTTTATTTGTGTATAGAAAATTTTTATTTAGTGCTTACATATGCATTATATATATTAATATTATAAGATTTATTAGATATAATTATTCTATAAAATTTTAATTACACATGTTGTTTATATTACATAATTATTTTAATTAATATGATTAATATTTAGTGTGATTAAGTTATGATTGTTATATTTTAAGATAAGTATATCAATTATATATATATATATATTATTTATAAAAATAAAATATATATTTTATTTTGATATGTAATTATTGTTTGTTAGATAATAAATTATTCATTTGATAAAGAAAAAAATATAAAGAATATTTATAGATTTTCATAGTGAAATTCACCTATTATAAAAAAGATTATTCAAACGAATAAATATAAGATAAAATAGAAAGAATTAAATATTATTCTAATTCATATATAAAGAACAATTTTGATCATAAATTTTATATCAAAAATATTTTATAAAACTTTATTAAAAATAGTCAAACTAAATATATTTTCTAAAATTTAAAATTTAAAATAAAATTTATTTTCTAAAATTAAAAATAAAAAATATTTTCTAAAACCAAATACCATGAGTGTTCCACTTCTTCCACCTCTGAGAATGTACCTATTGGCTTTTCGTTTTGCTTCATTCATTTGGAAATATTAATTGTTAATTTTCTCGATATTAATTTTTTGATAACTAATTTTTATCAAAAACTTTAACCAAATATTTTTAACGAAATCTTTCTTTTCAGTTAATTACGTTTTTTTTTTTATATATACAAAGCTTAAATTCTAAAAATGATGAAGTCTAATTTTACTCGTAGAAACAATTTGCTGGTTAATACTTATATAATCAATAAATTATTACATCCACGTAGGTTGATTCATCGGACGAATAGAGTATAAAGCTTCTTAATACACATCTATTATATTATTATTACTTTATTTAAAATATATTTGTAAAATATTTTAAAATTAACTAGAAATAGGGACATAATTATAATTAAATACAGTGAGATGTTATCTAAAACTTGTGAATGAATAAGAAAAATATAAATGAACTTTTCTTTTGAAAGTAAAATGATGAAAAGAAGATGATGACTTTTAATATTAATTCAGCCTCTCAATAATAAAAACTGACACAAAAGTCTTATTTTTGTATGGACCGCAAGATTGAACTGAAGCCAATTAGTTTGAAATTAGTCTTTCAAGTAAGAACCTGAAACTAAAGTATACGGTGCAGGAATGTGACTACGTCTTTGGTTATGGAGCAGCAAACATCAAGTTTGTCTCTCAAGGGCACAGGAAAACAGTAAGTACACACATATATATATATATATATATATATATATATATATATATATATAAAAAAATTT